TGAAGTATAAATGTCCTAGTGTCTACTATTCAAAAGATATGGCCAAACTAAAAGTTTAAAATTTGTGTGTAAAAGTGGGTTAAACTCCAAGGTCAAAGGGTCAAATTTGGTGGTACCCAAAGAAAGGTCTTGTTACAAGGAATATACGTGTGAAATATGCAAGTCATAGCTCCACTAAATCAAAAGTTATGGGCAAGGTTAACGTTTTTGCGGACAAACATACAAACAGATAGACAGAGAGACAGACAGACAGACGGACGGACACGACAAAAACTATATACCCCCGAAACTTCGTTTACGGGGGCATAAAAAATGTGTACGAAGAGTCCATGTTTTCTTTATACTTACAAGCCCCTATTTTTTGTTAGCAAATTAGAATGAGAAAATTATCATGATATGACACCAGAAATGTCTGGTTTTGTTTTTCTATTCTTAAAGTTACAGTATGGTCATATAATTTTAAATTTTGGTTAAACAAAACTACTTTAGGAAGGTAAAAAAAAATTATGTATGTAATTCAAGCTAAATCTAGTGGTTGAATTAGACCGACGTAAACAAACAAGCACCATAGTCATGATACTTAGTCGTAAATATTCACATAATGTATCTGACATGGACACAGCAAACAAAAAAATCTGTTCTGCAAAAATTTTACTTCTTCCGTCATACCAATTCACATCTGCAGGCCGGTCATGGTCTTTAATGTCTATATTGAAAACAACATCAGACACAGATAGCGGAGTAACCACGTGGTGCTGCAGTGAACACTGGACAAGGAGTAGTTTCACCAAAATTATGTTCATGGTCGGTTTCAGTCTCACTTCTATTTTGATTCTTATGAAGATGCTTCAATTTCAAGAACCGTAAAGATTAAATATGTATGGCAACTTTGTCTTTTAAATCGAGGACATTTCTCGATTGCTTCGTCGGTTATCTTGTAGCATAGACAATAATTTGTAAATGGGGACTTTAATTTGACGGCGTTGCGGATTCCGGAAAAAAAACGGCACGTGCAAATATGCGAATTCTTTATATCACGTGATTGCTATCGGCCTACACATTAAATAATTCTATTATTATGTATTTAGATTTCTAAAGTAATATTTGAAGTACTAACAGAAATATATTGATTTTTCTCTGATGCAATTCCCGTGAAAACGTCTTGTAAATGACGTCTCCTCAATTGACAGCGCACCAAACTTAAATTATGTGTAATGCTCGAGATATCTCCAACATAGATCCAAAATATGCATTCTAAAACCTGTAGTAAACTAGGATATTATATAAGTTTTTGGTTTTAAAACAAAAAAAGAATATTACTTGTTTAAAAGATTTTAAGCTTGACAAGAAATGGTGTTTGGATGTTGAGTAGATAAGGTTACTCAAACTGTACAGGTACTCTTGGAAAATGTTGAGAAAATGAGAGCTCAATAACATATTTTTTTTTATTATAATGCCAGTGACGTCGAAGATTTTGCTGCTCCGTGACTTAATGATATGTCCTGAAAAATCACTCAAAATTGATATCAATTTACAACATTTTGATATGAAATTTTGAAGACCATATAAGTAAAGATTCTTTTATATTATTTGTGACATTTTGCCCGATTATGTCGTTAAATATTTTTTCTGTGCAACAAATCCGCGTAATTTTTGAACGGCCCTCGTATTGTTTCTCCGTAATATTTTTACATTTTAGACCTCCGTAACCAATTTCAACCAAACTTGCAACATAAAAATCCGTTTAAGGTTTTTGCAAAAAATGTACAGGACGCCATATTATGTAAGAAAGGAGACATAAATAAACAGAAGTATATGTCAACATAAAAAAAATTGCACATTTCTTGTAAACAGTATTATGAAAAATATGTAACCAGAAGTCTCTGTCGAGACTGAAGCTCTTCTGGTTTGTACTTATAGGAAAGGAGGAGAAAGCAGTTGGGAATTGAAACTTTACAACAGCAATAAATAGAACAAGATGTGTTTGTGAAACATTATGCGCCCGGCGTCAACAAAGTTCGAAAAAGAAATTTTTAAGTGAAGCATGCATTCTAAATATGAAGTCCCTGTCTCCTATGGTTCAAAAGTTATGGCAAAAAGTGGAAAAAGATATTTTTAGGATATAGGTAACACTCAAGGTCACAAGGTCATCGACCTTGATGTCATTTGAAAGGACTTTATTAGTGGAGTATGCATACCAAATACGAAGTCCCTATTTCCTATGGTTCAAAAGTTATGGCAAAAAGTCGAAAAAGCTATTTTTAGCATATAGGTCACAGTCAAGGTCACAAGTCAATGACCTTGATGTCATTTGAAAGAACTTTATTAGTAGAGTATGCATACTAAATATGAAGTCCCTATCTCCTATGGTTCAAAAGTTAAGGCAAAAAGTTGAAAAAAGTTATTTTTAGCATATAGGTCACAGTCAAGGTCACAAGGTCATTGACCTTGATGTCATTTGAAAGAACTTTACTAGTGGAGTATGCATACCAAATATGAAGTCTCTATCTCTTATGGTTCAAAAGTTTTGGCAAAGGTTAAAGTTGACAACAGCTAGACAGACAGACAAACAGACAAACAGATAAACAGACAAACAGAAAAACAGACAGGACAAAAACAATATACGCCCCGGATCTATCGATACGGGCGCAAAAAAATGATCCTTGATAAGGTCTCTTAATGTTCTTAGTGTAGTCTACTTGCATGCCACATTATATTATAATCAAAGTAAAACGGTAAGTAAGTAAGTCGCGGGTTCGAATCCCACTGCGGGACGTGGAGACCGGACCTTCGGATGAGACCGTATAAACCGAGGCCCCGTGTCGCAGTAGGTGACGGCACGAAAAAGATCCCTCACTGCTCATTGGCCCTGAGTGCCGAGCATAGGACAAAATTTGTAGCCCTCCAGCGGCAAGTGGTGGCGTCTCCATATGAGTGAAAAATTCTCGAGAGGGACGTTAAACAACATACAATCAATCAATCTAAAGATGTGCCAGTCCGAATTTTCTTTCACACCACACGCACACCAGACAAGTTAAGTTGTTGGTTTACACAGTTGACAACTCCTTAACCCGCCTGCAGTAATCCTAAAATACACAGTTCTGCTCACGAGCCTTTGGTTTCTCTTGAAACCTTTTTTTTAGAGACAGGGCAAATCACCACCTTCGAATTCCACGCTAGGTTCTTCAAATGTATCATTAAACTTCTCTTACATGTCTTTCTTTTCTCTCTTCCTGTCGCCAATCCTTCCGATTGACGAGATTCTTTGATTAAACCTCGCCATGGTTTATGCGCAGAATTTATTAAATGGTAATAGCATTAGCTGTGAAAAATCTTTGTTAAAAACCCAAAACGGTCGCGATTACTAATCCGACAAACAAGATATAATACTGTTCTATATCGATTTTTGTGGCGTATTTCAAAAGAGGAACTACTTAAAACACTTGAACTGGAATTTAAGAAAAAACAAAACCAAAGGAAAGTAAAACTTAAATTTCTTTTTTTTTTTAAATGTGTTTTGCCTTTTAATAAAATTAACATTTTAATTCGTATTCATCAAAGTTTCGTGTATGTTCCCAATCAGCTTATGCGCTGAGAAGTTATGCTTAGGGACAGATGTTACGCACACACTTTTATCTAAAATTTTGACTTGTTTCATGTATTAATGAATAAAATGACAAAGTTTCACCGTGTTTGACGTTCGGGTGAAGAAGAACAAAAACAGAGAGTACATGTACGTATACATGTCACTATTTTGACTCATACTACCTTGTATAGAGTTCAAGTATATTCCATTTTTAACTGATGAACCAGAAGTCTCTGTCGAGACTGTAGCTCTACTGGTTTGTACTTATCAAAAACCATTGCACTATTTTATGTATCTTTGTATAGTCTACTTGTGTGCCAACTTATTTTGAAAACAAACTAAAACTGTAGAAGGAGTAGAGTTTTAAAGGAATTTTACAGAAAATTCTATTTTTAGTAACCATGGTAACACCGTTCATCGCAATCAAAAACCGATGGAATATTCTATGTATCTTAGTGTAGTCTACTTGTGTGCCAAGTTATACTGAAATCAGACCAAAACTGTAGAAGGAGTAGCATTTTAAAGAAATTTCACAGAGAATTCTATTTTAGTAACCATGGCAACATCGTTCATCGAAATCAAAAACCGATGCACTATTCTATGTATCTTTGTGTAGTCTACTTGTGTGCCAACTTATTTTGATATCAAACTAAAACTGTAGAAGGAGTAGCGTTTTATAGGAATTTCACAGAAAATTCTATTTTTAGTAACCATGGTAACACCGTTCACCGAAATCAAAAACCGATGCATTATTCTATGTATCTTAGTGTAGTCTACTTGTGTGCCAAGTTATATTGAAATCAGACCAAAACTGTAGAAGGAGTAGTGTTTTAAAGGAATTTCACAGAAAATTCTATATTTAGTAACCATGGCAACACTGTTCATTGAAATCAAAAACCGATGCACTATTCTATGTATCTTAGTGTAGCCTACTTGTGTGTCAAGTCATATTGAAATCAGACCAAAACTGTAGAAGGGGTAGCGTTTTTAAGGAATTTCACAGAAAATTCTATTTTTAGTCACCATGGCAACACCGTTCACAGAAATTAAAAACCGATGCACTATTCTATGTATCTTAGTGTAGTCTACTTGTGTGCCAAGTTATATTGAAATCAGACCAAAACTGTAGAAGGAGTAGCGTTTTTAAGGAATTTCACAGAAAATTCTATTTTTAGTAACCATGGCAACACTGAACATCAAAATTAAAAACCGATGCACTATTCTATGTATCTTAGTGTAGTTTACTTGTTTGCCAAGTTATATTGAAATCAGACTAAAATCTGTAGGAGGAGTAGCGTTTTGAAAAATTGTTTACAGACAGACGGACAGACAGACAGACGGACGCCGGACGCATTACTATCGCATAAGCTCTTCTGGTCTCTGACCAGTAGAGCTAAAAACAATGAATACTTACCAATTTCAAATAAATTGCTTTTTGTTTCTGTATAATCAATGGTACAAACATGGACTTGATATCGTGCCTTGTCCTTCGACAAATCCTTTAAAACCAGAGAACACCCTTCTCCTTGAATTGTTTTGCAAGGGAAACGGGATGCTATGGAACCTGTTTTCGTATTTCGCCACTGCTGAATCACTTTTTGATCATTTCCATCCGAAATTTTCAACCATTTAATAGTTTTGATAGGTTTATTTGACCTTATATGAAGTTGAAATTTTGTGTACATATCATTATTATCGTCTTCCTCGGATATTGTCAGGATTGGATTGGCTGTAAAATGTTTTGATTGAAATTGATTGATGAAATATTAGAAATGGAGCATGAACAGTAGATAAAAGTCTCCTTACCGTTTTTTACCTCGAAACGATATTCATCACTTGTGGCTTCTCCTGTTTCATTCTTCACATATAAGCGGTAGATTGCATCATCCTCTACAGTCAAGTTTGTAACAATTAATGTTGGATTAGATGAATGAGTGTTGGAACCTTGGTACCTTTCGTTGGAGATATCTATTTCCTCAAAGGTACCATACGTCTTTTTTTGCCATGACACTGATTTGATTGCCGAATTAGAAATGACTGTTCCGACAAAATGCAAACCTTTCCTTGACCATGATTTATCTTCAATTGTAACGTGTGGTGGAGCTACAAAATGATATTCATATTATATACAGACACTATATTCCCCATTTTCAAAAGGTGAGTTATTTCCCCTGAAGGGAACTCTTTACTGTGTTTAATACGCATGCGCTGTAAATAAAGTCACTTCCGCGGACGTTCTTGATGTAAACATGTTCATGGTGTAATGCCTCTGTCATATGGAAAATATTATTGTGTTTGTGAATAAAAAGAAATCTTAACTGATTCGTATTTTTTTTAAATTGCCCACTCATAGTCTCTTTTTGGATTTGTATTAATCTGTGTAGTACTATAATAAGGTGCTGTGTGACACTCCCCCCTTACAAAAAAAAAAAAAAAATCCACACACACAAAAAAAAAACGAAACAAATTACTGATAAAATGCTGATACATATTCGAATAGGCCTATTTAAAAAAAGCTAATAAGCTAATTTTCGGTAGTGGATGTTCTGCAGACGGATCATCATTATTTACAAAATGTGCGGAACAAATTTTTAGTTATAAAGTTTTTACGAATTAATCTAGCCTGCTGCAGCTGTATTTTCTTTGAATCTCTAGGAATTTTTTGGAGACTGATGACATGTCCATCTACAGTTTTACCTCTGAAATTGCTGCATATACAGCAGTAGTTCGTCTTCCGCGACCGATACCAAGAAACTGTGTTTTTGCTCGATTGTATGTCATAACATAGAACTTTTACTTACAAGAACACATTTGGTGACAATTAAAGGCCCATTTCATTTGAATTAACAGTGTTTCTAGATTTTTTTATTTGTAAAAAAATTGATTTACTATATAGTATTAAAACTTTGAATGGAATTCTAAATGAATAATTTAATCTCATGTCCTCATGTAACGAAGAAAGACTAATTGAATAGTATTGACCTGAATTCGTGTTACATATGTCGTATAAAGTCTGAGCTGCATTTAATCAGAGTTTTAGTGTAGGATCTAAGCATATGTACATGTATATTCCCGAGTAAAATACACATTTTGTTTTAGATCAGATAATTGAGAGCAGAAACACGAAATTAATACAATAATTTCCTTGCGTATTTCTCGTTAATTAACGGAAAACATTCTTTTCTCAAGTGTTATTTATTTTTTTTAAAATCCTTTCAGTGTAAGTACATTTATTTATTTTTATAAGTTATTCTTTTTTGCAAAGTGTGTAAAAAACAATATCAGAGAGAGAGAGAGAGAGAGTCATGTAATCCCGTGTAACTGACATACATGTACATCTGTGAAAAATATATGTATCGTAATTTTATTGAATCCACAATTAATAATTCTAATAATTTTTAATTTTCACAACTATGGTTCATATTCAACTGTTCAACCCATTTACATATTCATTCTCTGTACCTGTACGCACGGGAAGGGGGGGGGGTCAAGGGGCTTAGCCCCACCCCCAGTTTTTTTCCCAATATTACTTTTTCTATTGAAAATGTACATTAATAGATAGGTTGCCCCACACCCCCGCCCCCCCACACACACACAGTTAATACTACGGTAAGTTATATAAGGGAAATGTAGTATTGTATGCCAAGGAAGTGGTACTGAAATAAGTAGCTTTTTCAACTTTGGGCAAGGTTTTTCTTTGCTTGTCAACTTACCCAGGTAAGAAAAAATATTTCTTTGGCTACCTCCCCCCCACTTTTAAAGACGATGCTACGTGCCTGGTTAATTCGTATAGCTTTCTTTAAAGGGGGGGGGGCTAACAGACCTTTTATAAAATAATTTATTATCTAAAAAAATATTCAGACCGTTTCCTTCTTTTAAAATTATTAAATACAGCGTGTAAGTTGATGACTATTTTGTATTGCGTAGTCCGCGGAAGTTAGGCTAGTGTAGAAGAGTTCCGATTTTGAGGGGAGATAACTCACTTTTGAAAATGGGGAATAGTAAGGATATCTCCATTTGATAAAAGGTTACTAAGACTTCTTTTGATCGACTATCAGTGTATCATATCAAGTTTAATGATATTGTACGATAAATTGATTGATTGTATGTTGTTAAACGTCCCTCTCGACAATTTTTCACTCATATGGAGACGCCACCATTTGCCTCAGATTTTTTCATATACTTGGACTATTGCTGAATCACACTGAATGCCACAAGGGAATTATTTGGAGATAACAAACAGTATTCAAGATCAAAAATTCATAAAACCATACAAAATACTGTAGATTCCTAATTACAAGCGAGGAATTAATTACCACGTAATTTCTCAAAAGGAATCACTCGCAAAATAAAATTATTCACTTTTATACTTTTACAGTGCTGAAATAAATTTAAAATCTCTTTATCAAGCGTCCAACTGCGAGTCATTATTCTCGCGATTTGACGACATAGAGCCATCTCGCGAAAATAAGTACTCGCAAAAAATAAGGAATCTACAGTAGGGGCTCCAAAACATCAGAAGTGATATCAGTTGCCCATCTCCAAGCCCCACAGGGGATTCGAACCAGCAACATAAGGATTTACTCCTCAACTCTAGACGCTTTAAAATAACTATTGTACCACACGGGCAGCTAGGCTGCTTATTGAACTTAACATCTTTCAAGCATAAATAGATATAAAATATCTTACCCTTTTCTACACAAAGCTTAACGTTTGCGCTTTTTGAAACACCAAAATCGTTTGAAGCTTCAAAATAATAAATCCCTTCATCAAGCACACAGCAATCTGCAATCAACAGGGTATCATCGTTTTTGTTCACCATGTTTGTGTATTTTTTCTTTCTTTGCCAGTTAAAAGTACGAAATTCTGAAGGAAATTCAACTTGTATCCTATTTCTATCCCTTTCAATGTACCAACGTCTGCTTAATGTAGGTGGCCTGGAATCTATCGATACTTTTAATTTGGCAGATCCTCCGTATAGAACTCTCAATTCATTCTTTTCACACCTTATAAATGGTTTATCTAGGAGATTTGACATGGGTTATAAATTTTACTGTTATACCTTTCGCAGAACAAAGGTGCAAATACAATGAAAACTACTCACCACCAACAAGTAGGTATTCATTTTGAAATGTGCTTCCAAAAAAAATAGAAACCCTCAGTTCGTAATTTCCAGAATCCTCAAAAGTTGATTGCATTATCATCAGTTTTGCAGTATTTAGAATCTCTGGGCTATGTCTTTTACTTGGCGTTTTCCAGGCTTTCGAAAGTATTGGAGAAAACGTGCTCTTAATGTTTCCAACAAGAGAAATTTGCTCACCACACTTGACTTTAGATTTACAAGACTTAGTGATCTTTACTGTCGGTGCTATAAGTCAAAACGATAAATGCTTCAAAAATGGCTAATAAGAGGTAAATATGATAATCCTATATTTTAGTACATGCATGAATTATGTTTCCACTCTCTTTTAAATCAATGACATCTACTGTTCTCAAATCTTATGATAGCGTTAATGTCAGCAAACATGTCAAAAGACGTCAATACATGTAATAGTTAAACATCGCAGATATGTTATTTTATAAATCAAGCATAAAACGACAGAAAAATGATCAAATCCATGATTTACTATTTCCGATATGCTCTCTGATCACAGGTCCAAGGTACATGCATTAGAGATCTTGTTAAGGTAATACAAATGTAAGATTTACTTTCTGAGGAAATTTTAGCAAAAATCCAATGAATTGTCTTGTAAGAGTATCAAAATGAGGGTCAATTATATTTAACGATATACTCTCTACTGTTTATGGTTTCATGATGTGATCAGTCGAGTGGCGTGCGTGATAATTTGCATGAACGTACACATATATGAACAGAATAATCACGAAAGCCAACCGATTGATCATTGTCATGAAACCAAAAATTCCGACAGTTATTCCTTATATTAATTAACGAGGGTTGTCCGGTAAAATCGTGGAAAAAGCGTTTTTCTCGAAAAGTAATCGGCGCTCTAAGCTGAAATTTTCAGTCAATGTTTATCTATCAAATTTAAGTGCATAATAATTTTTTGACAGTACGTAGACAACCAGAAGTCTCAGTCGAGACTGTAGCTCTACTGGTATGTACTTATCAAAAACCATTGCACTATTTTATGTATCTTTGTGTAGTCTACTTGTGTGCCAACTTATTTTGAAATCAAACTAGAACTGTAGAAGGAGTAGCGTTTTTAAGGAATTTCACAGAAAATTCTATTTTTAGTAACCATGGTAACACCGTTCATCGAAATCAGAAACCGATGCACTATTCTATGTATCTTAGGGTAGTCTACTTGTGTGCCAAGTTATACTGAAATCAGACCAAAACTGTAGAAGGAGTAGCGTTTTTAAAGAATTTCCCAGAAAATTCTATTTTTAGTAACCATGGCAACATCGTTCATCGAAATTAAAAACCGATGCACTATTCTATGTATCTAAGTGTAGTTTACTTGTGTGCCAAGTTATATTGAAATCAGACCAAAACTGTAGAAGAAGTAGCGTTTTTAAGGAATTTCACAGAAAATTCTATTTTTAGTAACCATGGCAACATCGTTCATCGAAATTAAAAACTGATGCACTATTCTATGTATCTTAGTGTAGTCTACTTGTGTGCCAAGTTATATTGAAATCAAACTAGAACTGTAGAAGGAGTAGCGTTTTTAAGGAATTTCACAGAAAATTCTATTTATAGTAACCATGGCAACACCGTTCATCGAAATTAAAAACCCATGCACTATTCTATGTATCTTAGTGTAGCCTACTTGTGTGCCAAGTTATATTGAAATCAGACCAAAACTGTAGAAGGAGTAGCGTTTTAAAGGAATTTCACAGAAAATTCTATTTTTAGTAACCATGGCAACACCGTTCATCGAAATCAAAAACCGATGCACTATTCTATGTATCTTAGGGTAGTCTACTTGTGTGCCAAAGTATATTGAAATCAGACCGAAACTGTGGAAGAAGTAGCGTTTTAAAGGAATTTCACAGAAAATTCTATTTTTAGCAACCATGGCAACACCGTTCATCGAAATTAAAAACCCATGCACTATTCTATGTATCTTAGTGTAGTCTACTTGTGTGCCAAGTTATATTGAAATCAGACTAAAATTGTAGGAGGAGTAGCGTTTTGAAAAATTGTTTACAGACAGACGGACAGACAGACAGACAGACAGACAGACGGACGGACGCCGGACGCATTACTATCGCATAAGCTCTTCTGGTCTCTGACCAGTAGAGCTAAAAATAAAGATTTTATTATACTTAAATGTGAACAGGATACGGATTTGCGGCGCACGGTAAAACAAAACCGAGATTTTGTTAGAGAATAAACAGGTATTCATTCGAAATACAAGTTTTTAATATAAAAGATTGGGATAAAAATTATCCTACTTCGATTCAACAATCACATTTCTCGTCTTTTTTAAGGAGTTCAAGGCATTTCATTAATTTTTGGCAGATAGATATTTTCTTACTTCATTTACTAAATAGTACATTTATTTAGAATATGAAATGAAAACATTTGACGTATCCATATTTACATTTTTTATGATTCAGAACGTTCATTTAATAATTCTGAAAATCCGGGAGAGGAGGGAGCGGACACCTCATCTAAGCATCCTCCTCTTTTTCCATGAGTGGGAAACACAGATTATCTTTACTATTCTACATTTACCTGCATTTTTTTTTAATAATATTTAGAAAATAACGTAGACTTTGATCACTATTACTACAGACCCTAAACCCTAAACACGAAACAAACCGTTCCGTGCAAGAAGTGTACCGTTCTGTATACTAAACGAAACAAACCGTGTACAAAATGATATATACCGTTCGAAAAGTGTACCGTCAAAATGTAAATTTTGCAACATGTCAGTACCGTTCACAAAACGAAATGAATCGTATTGTGCACGTGGACCAGTAACACTTTTCGGGTCATTCTCTATCCGAGTCGTCGTTCCCGCTACGCTGCTACATACACCTCTTGTTTTACAAGATTCTTAGAAAAATTGCAAAAGATTAAAAGTTGTATCAATAATAGTTTTTAATCATATTTCTTATCAAAAATCATTATTTATTTTAATTTATTACACCTTTAAAGTGTTTTTAATTTAGATTTTCATTTTTACTCCGCAAATAAAATAGCTCCCTTAAAACTTTGATAATAAGTCGTTTTGAGGGATTATAGATTTAAAATAAATGATGAATTATCATCTTTATCGAGAATTACGATAATTAATTACTTTTTAAACTTCAAATTTCCTACGTTTAAACTTTGTACAAGAATCTTGTACAACGAGCGTTGACAGAGGTGTATGTAGGAGCGTAGCGGGAACGACAACTCAGGTTAGAGAATGCTTTTATGCTCTGTAGTCTAAACAAAATCTTACATGTAGAAGTTCACCATGCACCTTACATGACACGAAGGATTCATGAAGTAGACAGAAATTCAGACCCACAGAGCTTAAATAATATCTCCCACTCTTAATGAATGCCGGGGACAATATTGAGAAAAAAAGGAAAACATGCTTCTCACAAGCATCTGTGTCGATGTTTTAAGTAAGCTTCCAGATGGTCTATGTATAAAATAGTCCAAAGTTGGATTCATAACGCGATGGAGATAACTGTTCAGATTTTATTGAATATAAAATGATAATCTGCTTACAATTCTAAGCTTTGAATTTTCAAAATCATTTCAAAGAAATGTTCACTGGTCCTATTTTATGTAGAGAATGAAAATCATACTTACGAATTAGAATATACTTTTTAATGAGTACAGATAACAGGATTAGCAAAACTGCTAAGATTACTCTTAAAGTCCCATCGAAATTTGCTATCTCTGTCCAGTCAAAAGACGAAAGAATCCTTTTCATTTCCGGCCACATAATTCTTATCTTTTTATCCTCTTCCTATTAAACCTTCAAAAGAAGAAATAGCGTAGAAATTAAAGGATGGTGTGACAGAACTGCTATCAGGGACCCCCTTTTCATTGACAAACTACATTAAATCTAAAACGATTTTGATAGTTTTCAAAGATGAGTGAATAAATACTACCGATTTTGAATAGTTTAAAATAGTTCGGACACATTTTAATCATAATGAATACTGCATTATCTATGAATTTTTAGACCCCATAGCGTCAAAACTGCGCCTGGTTTGTGACAATGTTCTATAATTGAAAGATAATAGGCGGATCTTAGTAGAACATCCGAGGAATCTACCTTATATGGCTATTGCCCAATCCGATGACAGAACGACAAAACATGCTGGTTTACTAGATGTTTACATTTTATCACAGGCACGTAGTTTGGGTCAATTTACTCATTACATGTACATGTACCCTCTTCTACACATCAAACTTTTAATCGTCAGCCAAGGCTTTTTATACTTAATAATATGTAATAAGCATGGATTCTCCGCGCTTACGGTTTTAGGTCAAGAAATGCACGTGAAACTTGTATTCACTGACACTCCGGACTATGTGTAGATACTAGACGTAGCGAATTGCCCACCAAACACTTAAAAAATACAGTAACTTTAAAGTATGTAAAGTTCTCAATCAATTTTTTATAACTGTGATTTCGGAAATTGTACATATGTAGATCCGTGTTTAATCTGTATTCAATTACATAAAAAAAATCGGAAAGCATGTAAAATAAGACTTTTTTCCATCATGAAATTTTATGTTTTTTATTTTTATTGTACTCACTCGTAACGCATCTTATTAATATTTAGCTGTTTGACCTGCATTTTATTTGAAGGGAACCATCTAATAAGAGATTAGCCCGGTCCCTTGTCTCATCGTTGCCAAGGCAGTAACGCGGAGTATACGAAGCATATCAGGGACAGGGAAGCAGGCTAATAAGCGATCTACTGTCGTGTTTTAAAACTGTTACAAACTGTTCCTAAGATTTCTCAAGACTTTGATAAGGCGTTATCGTTAAAAGCATCATTTTGTACATTCTATGGTCGATCCAATGACCTTAAATGCTGACTGACGTTTTTCATACTGTTAGCCCATTATTATTCCTTCGCGCAGCTAGTTGCGGAGGGAATATAGCATCGCGATTGTGCGTACGTGTGTGTATGTTAGTGTGTCCGTTACAGATTCCCAGATAGCATGACTACGTTGGGCCAACGTTGACGCACAGTTGCTGACTGCGTTGGTCCAACGTTGGCCCAATGCAATTTCGCTCATCGCCCAACGTTGGTCCAACATGTTGGACCAACGTTGGCACAACGTTTGTATATTTTATAACTGCATTTGGTCAATGTTTGTCCAACAATGGCCCAACCTCCATTACCATCAGTGATTGTATCAACATAGGCCCAACACTGGCCCAATGTACTTTCTGTGTTGGCCCAACATCCATTAATCAACATATTATCGATGGCTCAATTTTAATCCAGTATTCTTTACATGTCTTTGCTATACAATGGCCCGTGTTTTTATGGACGGTGATTTTTTTCAATGTAGGGCCAACGGAGGCCCAACCTTTCTTATATCAATAATGATTTCCTTTCAAAATTAATCCATCTTGACAAGAAATAACTAGCTAAAATTGACAGAGGCAAAGGATAAAATGATAAACTATACAATTTATTTGTTAGCCTCCAATAAATTATAATAAAAAAACATTTGCCGAAGTTCCATAGTATAATCAAGGAACAATAGATGACATCGCTTTTTGATCATGTTCGTACTTATTTTCCACAAATTCACTTGTTTTTTCCATTTTTCTTCGTTCATCTTCATTGTCAGCAAAGCAGAACCAGTCTTTGATAATTGCTGCAATATCTACATCTGCTGCAAATGCACACAGCATATATTTTGTCTAGTCAAGTTTCGGTGTTAAAAAAAGTTAAGTTATTGAATATTTATCAATATTTTATAATGATATTCTGATTATCTTTCACGATACATTTAACCCTGCTCAAATACAATAAAATCTTACCATTAACACTTACCATAAACTAAATGTTTGATCTGGAAATTAGTTCTCGTTATGATATACATTGTAAGATACTTTCATACTTACTGAATCATTTTATACAAGAACTGAACTATCTATGAATTAAAAATGTAATAATAAACTACAGCAAAGCTCGTTGCAAAGCAACGAGTAGGTCTTCCGTCCAGTTTTGACCGGAAGTGACATGAACAAAAGAAAGCAATGAGGTAAGTCGTCTCTAGTGACTTTATAATTTAAATTTTGCATCAAAACCCTAAAAATAAGCTATTTTTGGCTACTTCCGGTTTGACCGGAAGTGACGACAACGGACGGAAAATTAGTTTTTATGCTCCCAGAGACATATTTTATCCAAAAACTTCTCAAGAACGGCAAAAATACGCGTTTTCCGACTACTTCCGGTTTGGCCGGAAGTGACGACGCCGGACGTAATATGATGACTTCACTAGATAAAACTTGACATTTTGAACAACTTTGCTTTTTTGACGTATTGCAAATTCTCAATACATTTTGAGATATAAAGGAAAAACTTTCGGCCCCTGTAGGCCCTTTATTTTAGGGGCCAGCCCTTTTTGCGAGATCTCATTTGAAAGATCTTCAAATTCTACACCTATTTTGTTCTACATGTCCTAACAAAATATTTCTAGGTAAAAAGTTATCGTAGAAAAGGTGTTAAAAATTTTGAAATTCTTGATAGGACTATTTTCGGGCCATAGCAAGCGTCGGCGCTTCGTACTTCCGGTGGTTGTGATATACGAAATTCACTTCTCCAAAGGTTGCTCTAGCATCACTGAAAATTTCATGCTTCTATGTTAAGTGCTTTTTGAGAAAACTGCCGGACAAAGTGACTCTCTGAAAATCACTAAAACGCGGAAATCTCAAACCGGAAGTGACGTCATCAAAACAAAAAAATATATATCTAGTTTTTTCCATGATCTATCAGTCCTAAAAGTTTCATGAAAATCGACTGAGCCGTTTTCGAGAACTCGCGTGCACAAAATCGGTAAGAAAAAAACAATAATAATAATAACTAGAGCAAAGCTCGTTGCAAAGCAACGAGTAGGTCTTCCATCGTGTTCTGACCGGAAGTGACGTCAACAAAAGAAAGCAATGAGTTAAGTCGTCTTCATTGACTTCATTATTTCAATTTTGTGTCAGAACCTTAAAAATTAACTATTTTTGGCTACTTCCGGTTTGACCGGAAGTTATGCCGACGGACGGAAAATTAAGTTTTATGCTTCCAATGACATATGTTACCCTAAAACATGTCAAGAACGGCAAAAATATGCATTTTATGATGACTTCCGGTTTGACCGGAAGTAACGTCGTCGGACATAATTTGACGACGCCATTGGATAAAGCTTAATATTTTGAACAACTTTGCTTCTTTGACGTATTACAAATTCTCAATACTTTTTGAGTTGTAAAAGAAAAACTTTCAGCCCCTTTTGGCCCTTTATTATAGGGGCCAGCCCCTTTCCGTTGATATCTTTCAAAAGATCGTGATATTCTCTACAATTTTTATTCTATATGTTTTCACAAAATATTAACATGTAAAAAGATATTGCAGAAAAGGTGTGAAAAAATTCTAAATCCCCGATAGGATATTTTTCGAGCCATAGCTAGCGCCGACGTGCTGCACTTTCAGAGAAAAAGAGAGGTGTATGTCACATCAGCACATGTTGCTCTATCATCGCTGAAAATTTCATGCTTCTGTGTTAAGTGCTTTTTGAGAAAACTGCCGGACAAAGTGACCCTCTGAAAATCACAAAATCGCGAAAATCTCAAAACCGGAAGTGACGTCATTAAAACAAAAAATTATATATCAGGTTCGTTTGATGTTCTATCAGTCCTGAAAGTTTCATGAAAATCGAGCGAGACGTTTCTGAGAAATCGCGTGCACAAAATCGGTAAGAAAAAAAACAATAATAATAAAAATAGTGGAAAAGAAACCTAAGAATAACAAGAAGGTCTTCCGCTGAAGACGGAAGACCTTAATAAATATACTTTAATTTTTTTAAATAAGCCGTTAGCCATTGTATGTACCACACTTTTAAAAATCCCAACCTTTACTCTAGCTTCCTCTGCGTTTTTGAGTTTATCGGCCAGATGTGAGTAATTAAACTTGGCAGCTCTCCACACATTTTGATGATTAAATTGCACTCGGATCTTTTCGGGTGGCTCGTACCTCGCGCACTGAATAGAGCGTAGCGGAATCAGCCGAGGATTGCGGATTGTTTAAATTGCTGTGCGACTATTTCAGTTTTAGCAACTCGCCTTACTAATATAAAGCTGGCTTGGTTATATTGATTTATGTATATTTAACTATCATTCACATCCTGTCCCTAGGAACTTTTAATTTCTATATTATGCTCATCAAAAAAAAATTATTAAGTCCTTTCGTTATTATAATAATGATGCTTCAGAATGATTTTTAATGGCTTATCCATTCCGTCTTCTTTGATAATGGATTCTCACTAGTTCTATACGAAAGAAACAAGTCTTACAATTCCACTAAAATTTTGAACTTATTAAATATGATTTTAAAATTAAAAAACAGGCACTACAAAACGTAGAGGAAAATCCCCAATTTAGGATAAGTGGTTACTAGTAACTCTTAAAAAATAAATCTTAAATTAAGTACGCTTAAGTAATAAAAACGTAATATTTTTTTGGTCAGCATAGGGCCAATGCACGGACCCCGACATAGAAGAGAACACTCGCCCTAGGACCAACGTGGGGCATGGTTACAATGTTTGCTTTGCTTTTATTATGTACACTCTCGGAAGAGGTATAAAAACTACGATAAACAAAACAAAAAGAAAGCATTACTTTGAGATACAAACACAAATTCTACACAAAGTACTTATAGACAATGGACAAAAGTGGTGGGAAAATGTTGAAGATGTTGATTGTTTACATTATATGCCGATCATAAAAAATAACCT